GGGAAAATCAGAATTGGCCAAACCTTGGAGGATTCTTTCATCGATCAACCGATTAACAAGGTAAGGGGGGAGAAACTTGATTGGGAATGGTTTATACATGTATAGGGTAGTTGGGGATTCCTTAACCCCGTAGGAAATTGATCGGTATATGATAATATATATATTGTTATGTTATGATTGATGATGATTGTTGTTAATTATATAGTAATCGTTAATGAATTGGTGTTTTGGGATGATTTGGCATATAGGGCATATAGGGTGTTTTACAGTTTTTAGGGAAAGTTCTGTATGGCTTTTGAGGTATCGATAAAGTGTGTAGGTGATGATTTTGGGAATAGGAATTAGAAACCTACTGGTTACGGTAATGTGCAAGATTGGTACCAGAATAGACTGAGGATCTGAGTTGAGATGATAGGTACACTTTGGCCTAGAATAGCACTGCAGAATTGTGAGGAAACTGATGAATCGCAGCATTCGCTGGGCTTCGCCTGGCGAATGTTGGCGAGGCTTCGCCTGGCGAAGGGAGGCGAGAGTTCGCCTGGCGAGCTGAGGCGAGTGGCAGCGAATAATTCAGAATTAAGTCCCAGACCTAAAGGGTAGGAACTTCGCCTGGCGAGTGTGGCCAGCGAAGGTTCGCCTGGCGAGTGAAGGTTCGCCTGGCGAATGCACGATAGTAGAATGAGGGCTTCGCCAGCAGGTTCGCCTGGCGAATGCTAGCGAAGGTTCGCTACGGGGCTTCGCCTGGCGAATGCCAGCGAACGTAGCAGAACCAGAATGTGAATTTGTGATGTTTTGGCCTTGAGCTCTGGACTTGTGTGATCCCTTTGGCCTTGCTGCACTGTAAGAATGATGAGTGTGGGAACTAACTTGTGTACTTGGTGATAGTGCATGTTTCCCGTAATAATGACTGGTGGACAATTAGTTGATGTATATGTATGTAGTGATCAATAGTATCGTGTATCCCCGAGTTGTGGGATGTGGTTGTATCTTGGTGATGGAATATGAACCTGTTTACTAATTGATTGATTTATATGGTGTTGATGCATGTTATATCTATGCATATATATATGTGATGTATAATGATACGATCAGGTGGATCGTGTGCACTTAGTGTGCCTGAACATAATAGTATGCATTGGTGTGTGCATATCATGGTGTCTTGGTGGGATGGATCATGTCTCGGATGGAGCGTAAGTGATCTGTCCGTACTCCTTTGTGGAGAATGGTGGGGTTGAATCATGTCTCGGATGGAGCGTAAGTGATTCACCCGTACTCCTTTGTGGAGAATGGTGGGGTTGAATCATGTCTCGGATGGAGCGTAAGTGATTCACCCGTACTCCTTTGTGGAGAATGGTGGGTTCGATTGAATGAACCAATGAGTCGGTACCGCATGCATGGTGTTGAGTTGCATTTTGCATTATAATATGTTATATTGTAATTTGAACAGTAGGTTCGTCATATGGTGTTGTTGGGGTGAATAATTGATGTGTTGGTGTGTTTTACTGCCTTATTACATGTATTACATTACCATTATATTTTTGATCATGATTTCTCACCCCTTTGTTGTTGTTGTGGTCTGTGCTTCTTCGGAAGTACAGATAATCCAGGTGCTTAGCTAGCTTGGATATTGGTGTGATTGTCGAGTCTAGGATGCTCTGATACGTAGCACGGGACTTGGGCGTTTTTATTTGTTTTATGCTGAACTGATATTTTATTTCCCTGTGAACGTATCAAACTTTTATTGAATTTTATTATTTAATATTCCGCTGAAGTTGGAGATAAACCTTTTTATAAGGAAACGTTGTTTTTATGTGATATCCCACTTGGGAGAATTGGAACTCTGGTTTTGTTTATTTATAATGTTTATTAATTTAATTGATTTTGGGAAGTGGGGTGTTACACGACGTGCCTTACCAAGATCGTATTCTTTTTTCGAGGTACGACAATATCCACTACATTATACTTTTTGCAAGTATAGTTATATACATACTTTTTGTTGAAAGATTTAACACATGTATTTGTTCTTAAGGTTGTTAATATCCTTTGTTGAGTAAAAGATGCTTATGATTAAAATATATTTAGAAAAACATATATGAACACTCAAATGCTAATGTTTAAAGGACTTGTACTTCTTACTTAATCAAATTTCCTATATTTGATAGAGAATAATTAAAGTGAAATTGAAACAGGGCCATAAATAAGTTAGTCATGACCCCTAGTTTAAACTTGTTAAAGTGGAAATAGAACCTTATATTCATGAAGTCCATTCGATAAAGTGAAGATAGAACCTTATATTCATGAAGTTCATTTCTTAAATCAAGAATGCACCACTACCATATTTACTAGATATGTTATTTTCAACCCATGGAAGTTCCATAGCTCAATCCACATCACTGCATATATTTTGGTATACTTCATAAGACTCAACTTGGCCAAGAAATTATGAGAACATGGAAAGCATCTGCATAAATTTTGAAATTTCTGGTATTATTTACCATAAATTTTGAAATTTCCTATATTTTATAAATTTAATTTTTAATATGTTAGTAAAAGTGAAAAATTTGAAAGAAAAATAAAATTTGATTGGTAAATATTAGCAAGTATATTTTTGAAAATTTGATAATTTGAAAATATAGGGGTGTCAGGTATAATATAAGGGGGTTCGGATATAATATAGGGGTGATAAGTTAAACTTTCTATGTTTTGGTATACTTCATAAAACTCAATTTGGCTAGAAAATTATGAGAACAGGGAAGACATCCCTATAATATCTTTTGAAACAAGTGGATATCGAGTTGATTTTGCTGTTAATCTCAGCCCCTTAAGGGAATGTTGAACTTTCTACACAAATTTAATTTTATTAACACAGATGAAAAAGTGAATACGGGACTAAACATCAGCTGTCCACCCTTTCACTCTTGTGTGAATAGGTGAAGAATTTTTTCTTCACAGTCAAGAAAATTGATAGATCTTGTGTTGAGGGTCTGCTACAAAATATGAACAAGAAGAAGATGAAAATGGTAGGATGAAAGTGCCACAAATAAATTTCAAAGTGTGTGTTTACACTAAACTTTAGGTTCGACTTGTCCTCACCAATTTAGGCAAATTGGATGCAAATGGGTAATCCGACAAATCCAGATACTTTAAAAACCTTAACATAAAACGCACATTCACATTAATCATATCGATCAACACTATTTTACAGAATAAAGTTCTCTTATTTATTCTCATGCACTAGAAAAATAAAAGAATTACTTAGATATAATTTTTGGCACTTAAAACATGTAATTTTCACATCTATATTTATGTTTAACTAGTATCTCTATATATATAAAAATCTGTACTAATTGTTTGGGAGAAACAATCCTCGATAGTCATTCGTGAACGGGGTTATCTATTAATAACTGTACTCATGTTCATGAAATGTTGTGATGGTTTGGCGGTAAGAGATGTAGTTTGTGTATACTTAACCAAGAGGTCTCAAGTTCAATTTCTGGCAATTGCAATTGACAATAAGAGAGGTCGAAGAAATTCAAATTGAATCTCTTAAATTTATATATAAAGAATCAATATGTCAAAGATGATCTATCTATTTTGATGAAGAACTTTTTATGCCATTACAAATGAAAAGTTCACCTCAAATAAGAGAATACATCATTTTCTTTGCAAGTTTTGAGTGATGTAAGATAGTTTTTTTTTTACGGAAACAATCTTAATGCATCTCATCTAAAATAAGAGTACTGATACATGACGGTACATCATTGAAAATATAGACACTAGCAAGAGATGTAGTCACCTGTGCTAAAGCATGAGCGACCTCATTCGCTTGTTTTCTAACGAACTCGACATGAGAGTTCCTAGACAAAGTAGCAAGTAGTCGCTTACAATTCTTCACAATTCGGCGGCTGAAGATTCACAGTGTCTACTACGCTTTTAGAATCCATCTCAAAAGTTACATCATCGAAACCTAACTCATGCACCCATTTTAAAGCTGCCAAAAGACCTAATACTTCTCCTGCATCAACATTGATACTAGCAAGAGATGTAGTCACCTGTGCTAAAGCATGAGCGACCTCATTCGCTTGTTTTCTAACGAACTCGACATGAGAGTTCCTAGACAAAGTAGCAAGTAGTCGCTTACAATTCTTCACAATTCGGCGGCTGAAGATTCACAGTGTCTACTACGCTTTTAGAATCCATCTCAAAAGTTACATCATCGAAACCTAACTCATGCACCCATTTTAAAGCTGCCAAAAGACCTAATACTTCTCCTGCATCAACATTGATACTACGAGTTAACCACTCAGTCCGAGCTGCTATGAACAAACCTTTGTCATCTCAAACCTAATACACATTCCTAACAATATATTCAAACTTCAAGATGTTTTAAAAACTGTCAACAGATTTCGAATAGATTGAATGTATCCTACATACAAACTTAAAATCTTATACCATCATATATGGACATGTTCAACAAAACTCTGTTGTCCAATGTGAAGTTAAAGTTTGAGGCTGGTTTTTTTAACACGGTTACCATATTTGATAATACTCCCACAATTTACGCATCAATAGTGGGAAAATGCACCCTTAGAACTGAAATATTAAGTAGCAGATTTGAGTTCTCTCATATTAGAATTCAAAATGAGTGGATTAAGTTGGTTATCTCACATTTAGAATTCATTGAGTTGTACAATTTAAAAATATACTAATTAATTTTAATTGTGAGACACTCCATATAACTCATTTTATATTAGACGAAAGGGTAATAACCATTAGAAGCTCACCCACAACCATGAGTGTTAGGGCTCAAACATTAGTAATGACATCCAACCTATTAATATCATTCGGAACTAAAGATGACGTTTGGAGCTATAATGATAGCTTTGAACATCACAAACACAAATTATGTAGCGAATAAATATGTTGTTGGTACATCATTACTCAGAATCAACGGAAAAACAAGAAGAGATAAATTTAAAAGGGAAAATTAAGATCCTACATCACTTCTTCTTCCCTGCCTTTCCTTCTTTTCTCCTTACAACTTCATCTTCATATTTGATACCCTTACCTTTGTACGGTTCCGGGGGTCTCCATTTTCTAATTGAAGCCGCAAATTGACCAATATCCGACTTGTTATATCCACTAACTGTTATTCTGGTGTTTTCATCCACCTTCACTTTTAGACCATTAGGGATCGTCATCCTAACAGGATGAGAAAATCCAAGATTCAACACTACTTCATTTCCTTCTACCATAGCACGATAACCAACACCAATAAGTTGAAGTTTTTTTTCAAAACCTTTAGATACTCCAACCACCAGGTTGTCTGTAAGTGTCCTAATAACATTTATTTGCACCACACATAAAAATCAGAATATGAAAATCATAGACAAATATAAAACATAAAAATCAGAATATGAAAATCATAGACAAATATAAAACATAAAATAGAAATGATGTTTGCATGAAGTAATATTGCGATGCCTTGTTCAACACACAGCTATCTCTCATCTTCTATAATACTGTTAATAACACTTTTTTCTTTCCATTGAATATGGTACCTACGATATCAACTTGAGTGATTAGTTACTTCCTATGATGCACTACCATAAAAATGTACACCAAACAGTACACTGAAACTGACACGTAGATTCCGATAACAATTGAAGAAAATTGAAGTAGTTGAATTTAAATACATGTGTTAGGTGTTGTGCAGGTATCTGACCCTAAAATCTGTAGAAGAACACCAGCCATGCCTTCGATTTTGAAGAGTGGGTACTGGAAACTTCCAAATAACTAGATGTTGTGGCAAATAGGAAAATAACATGCATCACAAGGATTCGATCGATTAACCATGAATTCTCAGGAATTACAAAGGCTAATTACTGGGCATTCCAAACACATCATTTTGTTTCAAACAGTATCAGATCTGAAAAACATAGATACCTAGTATTGTATTTATAATATTTATCAAATACAAAATTCTAATGATATAAGTTTCACAAACACATATAACTTACCAGAGATAACTTCCTTTAAAAACAATTATCATAAAACCATGAACTATCATGATTAAAAACAACTTCATACATTCTGCATCTCATAAGTATAAATGTTATTAAAGCACCAACTACAACATATATTTTGAATAATTTATCTTCGTGACTCGAGAAAGTAATGCCAACAATAGAATCAGAGGTTATAAGTTTACAACTATCATTATGACAGGAACATCAACATCGACAACGTATCTTTTGTTCTATGTCATGAAACAAAATATTGAGACATAATACTTTTTAAATCATTATATAAGAAAATCAGTAAAATTGAAGTACCTGAAAAGCCCGTGCATTTGGTTTGCCCTTCTGGTTTCGACTGCCTTACTGACCTTTAAAATCCCTTCCTCTTGCCTCTCAACCTTAACTTCTCGAGGATAAGTTAACGAAAGTTCTCCTAAAGGACCTTTCACTTGTATATCCTGCCCTTCCAATTTGATTGTAACATTGGATGGAACAGGAATTGGTTGTTTCCCAATTCTTGAATCCTTACATTCTATGATCTTTCTGGAGAAACCAACATGAGTAGTAGGAGCACTTGAAACTCTTAGCCTACTTTTGTTGCCGACAAAAACAGACTTAAAATTGCTGAAATAGGAAAGCAAATGACTAGTGACTGATTCCTCGAATTAAATATTACTTTGAAACTAACGTGTTTGTAATCAACTAAGGAATTATATCAGTCATATGAATACATTAAACAAAAGTTAGAGTCATTATTCCTGAAATTCCGAAATTATGCTTCTCATAAGCATTTCATCAAACATGGAGAGTGCATACATTTCATTAAATTTCAATTAAACATTCACGTTATCATGATTCAGTCACAACCAAATTCAAAAAAGCACCCCATGTAGTTCAGCCAGCATATAATTATAACCTTTTGACCCAATTGAGTTCGAAATTAGGGATGAAAAACAGCATTGACAAATTAAAAGAGGGAGGGAGTTCAAACTGGTGGGGTTTCTCAAGTGTTGTAAGAAAAAAGATAACTAAACCCTATAATGGGTAATCTTACAAAGTCACATAACCATTATTAAAGAAACAACGAAAAAACAGAAATGAAAGTGGTTTGTAAGATTAATATGGTTGGAATTTGCATCAGTGCAAAAAAGAAGAGAAGTTAGGGTTGTTTGAACCAACCTGATTTGAAAAGAAGAGGTAATGGAAGAAGCCATTGTTATCAGGCTTTTGAGAGTGTGTTGGAAAAATCCTTATCCAAGGAAGAAGATAGATGGATGTATGTGAAAAAGATAGATTGATGTATGCATAGAGCACATGTTATCTATATCATATTATCATTGGTAAACGCTCATTACTTCGGTTCCATTTCTTTAATTTTAGTTATAATAGTAAGCTTTTTTTATTTTGAATGTAATATATATATATATATATATATATATATATATATATATATATATATATATATATATATATATATATATATATATATATATATATATATATATATATATATATATATATATATATATATATATATATATATAGTGACTAACTTCCAATGAAAAACTAAGAAATTGCTGCATTATTAAAGTGTTTTTAAATTTAAATATGATTTGATTGAAAATAATTTTATACTTTTTTTATAACATATTTTATTGATAAATATTGACATAAATGATTTAGTCAAAAACTCTCTTGATTGAATAAAGAAGAAAATTGTTCAAAATAACATGATAAACCATATAAATTTTGTATTGATATTTGAGAAATACAATTTAAATGTTTTTGGAAGCTCTCTTTATGCGACATTTTATGCGGGCAAATTCTTATCTACCTATTTTTTTAAAATATTGGTAATTTTATCCCACTTAGTTGTCAAATATTAACATGTTCAATTTATTTTATTATTAATAATAAATATTTATAAAAATTCATTTTTGATAAAAATAAAAACTATATAAAATATTTATGCGAAATTTTTTTAACACCGTTATTGTATAAAACTCATCTTTAATAAATATAAAAACTATATAAAATTATCATTGTTTCAATTAATTTTGAACTAAACTTACGGAAATAAAAAATTAAGAAAAATAAAACAAAAATACTAAAAGCATCATTTTTACTATGCAAATATTTGTTTCATTCAGTAATTGAATATAAATTTTTCCGTTTAATTAATCAAGCAACTCATATAAAGTTGTGTTTAATTAATGTATATGAGAATGAATTTGTAATTATAAAATCTATGTTTCCAAAATTTAAATTTATAATTTTTTTAATATATTAATTCAGTAGTATATTATTAATAAATATATTATAGCATCTTATATTCTCGGATAAAATAACCCTTTAATTCTTGTTACACCTTCATGCAATTCAATCTTTAAACAAATAAATTTTCGTATATTTATTGATTATATTTTTATGTTTTAAAAAATAGTTAATACATTAAAAAAAATTAACAAAAGTACCAATACATCAATCCATCCTAAAACCAAAATAATGGGTTAATTTATATATATATATATATATATATATATATATATATATATATATATATATATATATATATATATATATATATATATATATATATATATATATATATATATATATATATATATATATATATATATATATATATATATATATATATATATATATATATATATATATAAAAGATAATGTTTGAAATGGTTAAAAATAAATTTATTAAAGGTAGATTTATTGAGCAATAAATTGTATGCACTACTGAATAACTAACTATATTGTTTATTAAATATTTTATTTTTATTTTATTTTTAAATTTTAATGATTAAAACGTGTTTAATTAATAAAAATATCATTAATTTTTGTGTTCAAACAATATTATTTTTAGTATTTTACTACATAATTAAAACTTGAATTCTTTATCTCACTAAATAGTCACACAAGAAAAAAAATAACAACTTACTCTTAAAAAAAATATGCATACCCGTTTTAAGAAGAAAAAATTTTAATTTAAAAAAATAATGTAAACATATAATGTTGATGTAGTCATATTTTAAACAAAATAACCTAAGTGTATTTGAATACTAGAAAAGATAAACCATTAAACTAACCTTTCATTAAAAAAAATTAATAAAAATTCAAGGGAATAAAGGAATGAAAAGAAAAGAATACTAGAAAAAACAATAAAAAAAGATAATAATAATAATAATAATAATAATAATAATAATAGTAATAATAATAATAAATGATAAAGATGGAAGAAAGTTGAGATTTTCTATTTTTCTCGCCTTAAGTCAATTGTCCCTGTGATTTATATTGTGGATATACATTTACACTTTATGTATAAAAAATAACAAATGTATGTTGAGGTAAAGTGATGTTCTGGTATGTGTATTCTTTCTTTCTTTTTTTTTCGGTTAAGATAGATGTGAAACGCATGTGTAGTGGTTGGACACAAGTCACAATACACACACTTTTTTATTATTTTGAAAAAAATATAAAACAAAAAATTAAGTATTTTTTAAAAATTAATAATATGAAAAAATTTAAATGTTATGTTAAGAATGTAATTCTTTGTATCGAAATATATATATGTCGAGTTGTATTAGTGTGTCGAAGTGTCAAAACAGGTTTTTTCACACAGGATTTCGACTTAGACCTATTTTAGTAATGTTAACTATTTTGCGTTTTTATAGTTTTGTACTTTGACTTAGGGTGCAAGCTAACCTAAATTTATAACTAGGGAGTAATCCTTATTTTGTAAACAACTCATAACATTGTATTAATCGAATTTGCAATTGCAAGTGAATAAAACAGGTTTCCACAGTTTGTGGGTAGAGAGAAACTCTGCAGAAAATATTCTTCTTCTTCTCCAATGTTATTTTCTTTCTTTCTTTCTCAACCTTTTTTTCATTGTCATTGCGTGATTGATAACAATTTTCTCAATCAAGATTGAGCAAAATTTTCTATTGGTTGTGGTTGAATTCCAACATCTAGTATCTAGAGTTTCGGTTGTGATTCAAGAAAGCAAAATCGTGATGGCGATGAATCATCTAAACGGATAATTTCCAGCGAACCTTTCGATTCTCAAGAAAGATAATTATGAGAATTGGTGCAAGTAGATAAAGGTGGTTTTTTGTTATCAAGATCTTTGGGATCTTGTGAAGGAAGGAGTAACACCGCTTGTAGAAAACGTGACGGATCAAGAAAAGACTGCACACAAATAATTGAAGAAGAAAGATTATAAAGTTCTCTTTATAATCCATCAATGTGTTGATCTAGATAATTTTGAAAAGATTAATGATGTAGAATCAATGAAGGAAGCGTGAGAAATTCTGAAGAAATCGTTTGGAGGAGCAGAGAAGGTGAAAGAGGTGAGGTTACAAACTCACAAGAGAACCTATGAATTGCTTCAGATGGAAGAAAGTGAAAGCATAACTGATTTCTTCAGTAGGGTTACTAAACTGGTGAATCAAATCAAAGCATGTGGAGAAGTGTTTACATTAAGATCAGCCGTTGCAAAGATCTTGAGGTCATTGACTCCTAAGTTTGACCACATGGTAGTAGCCATAGAAGAGTTGAAAGACTTGCCAACATTGACGAAGAAAGAGCTTCAAGGGACACTTGAATCTCATGAACAAATGATGGTTGAAAGAGCTGTAGGAAAGTCGAAGAGTGATATGGATTTGCAGGCGTAGTCAGAAAAATAAAATAAAGGTAAAGGAAGTTGGAATGAAAATAAAGGCAGATGAGGCTACAACAATTCAACTATTCGATATCAGCAGGAAGGCAATTGGTCGAATCAGAGAAAACCCTGGAACCAAGGAAACCCAAGAGGTGGTGTTGCAGGTAAAGGAAGAGGTGGTGGTCAAAAACTTGACAAAAATCACATTCAGTGTTACAATTGTCAGAAGTATGGTCATTATTTTAGTGAGTGTCGAGAAAAGAAGAAGAATCAATAAATTGATGCAAACTGGCGAAACATGAAGAAGAATAGATGTTGTTGAATATTACAACAAGAGATGAAGAAAGATTTCAGGACCAATGGTACTTGGACTCAGGATGCTCATCACACATGACTGGTAGGAAAATTATTTTGTCAACATGAAGCCTTTAATGAAGAATATGGTGAAATTTGCAAATGACAATACTCTAGCAGCTGAAGATATTGGTGGTGTTCTAATTATGAGAAAAGATGGCAAGAGGTCAGTAATTTCCAATGTGTTTTATATACCAGACATGATGAGCAATTTGCTCAGTATATGGAAGTTGGTCAAAAAGAACTAGAAGGTGTCGATCAAAGACAAGATGATGAGAGTTCTCAATTCAGGAGGTAGGTTAATCTTGAATGCTCTAATGCCTTAGAGTAGAACCATCAAGATTGAACTTAATGTCATGGAGCATAAGTGCCTTACAAATGCAGTCAGTCGAGATGAATGGATATGGCATTATCGACTTGGCCATCTCAATTTCAAAGACACCAGAGACTTGAAGAGAAGAAATATGGTTTCAGGATTACTAGAAATCGACATTCCAAACAAAGTATGTGAAGAATGTATTCAGGCGAAACAACACTAGAATAGCTTCAACAAGGATGCAGAAAGTAAGTCGAAGGCAATTCTTAAAGTCATATACTCTGATTGTATGTGATCCTATCCATGTGGATTCGATTGGAGGTAACATATACTTTCTCATGTTCATAGATGATTTTATTCGAAAACTATGGACTTACCTGATCAAGAAGAAAAGTGAAGTGATCGAGGTATTTGCCAAATTTAAATCTATGGTCGAAAGGCAAAGTGGTAAAAAGCTAAAGACTCTAAGGACTGATGGTGGTGGAGAGTATGTGTCGAAAGATTTCGATGCATTATGTGAGAAAGAAAGGATTGTGCATGAGGTGGTGTCACCCTACACTCCACAACAGAATGGAACTGAAGAAAGGAAGAATACAACCATCATGAATATGGTGAGAAGTATGTTGAAAGGAAAGCATATATCCAAAGTCATTTGAAGGTGTTTGGATCTATAGAACATAGACATGTGTCAGATCAGTTGAGAAGAAAGCTTGATGACAAGTCGAGTCAAATGATCCTGATTGGATATCATTTGAATGAAGGATACAAGTTGTTAGACCCAGTGAACAAGCAAGTAGTGATCAGCAGGGACGTGATCATAAATGAGCTTAAGGAATGAGATTTGATTAAGAATGTCAAGAAGGATT